CCTGTGCTCTTGAGAGGCCAGGCAGCCACCTTTGTCCTATGTGCAGATGTTTCTACAGTGTCTAAAAGCTAGTTGGTTTTTTTTTGGCCATCATATCTGCTTTTGTTATTTTACTTATAAATCAGAAYTAGGGATTAGGACTATTCCTGTCTCATAGGGATGTAACATATGCTTATGGTTTACCATTCCRGACTGGACTGATGTGTACCTCAAGGGGAAAAAAAATAAAATAAAACACTTTCAGGAAATTTGGAATCTTTTGGTATGCAGTTGCAGCTGGTAACTGGAAGAAGTCTGATCACAGGGAGAAGGATTTYGGGATAGTCAGGATCATCCATCTCAAAGAAAGAACATTTGCTGGTTTGGAGTGTATTTCTCTAGTTTCATTCCTCAGATGAGCTTTTTTAATTTCTAAGTGACAGAGGGCTGCTTTAGGATGGTTGTTGGCTTACTTAGCCCATATTTTGCTGTTGCACAATCATGAACTTGACTTTCCTGTTCTCAAGAGGTAAAGTCCTACACATGGGTCTGTAAACCTGCTTCCTCCACCTAGCTATTATACAAAAAACAACAGCTCCAACAAGAGACATGTAGAGAGACGGCCCCAGTGGRTCAATAGCATAGTTGTGAGGATATTTCCGTAGATTTTGGGAGACCTAGTGATCCTGACTGATATTCACTATCCCTATAGCTGGAGATATTCTTGAAGAAGAACCTTGTTAACAACCCCCCCCCCCCCCTTTTTTTTGGGGGGTGAGGTAAAATACTGTATCCCTTTTGAATTATTGATTCTACCCTGGAGCTAGTAAACCTTGCTTGACCAAAGTTTCTGTGAAAAGTGGTTTATTTCCTTTCAAGGGTTTATTTCCTTTCAAGTGAATCAGCATTTTTTGATGAAAAAAATTCATTAAAAGAAAAAAAACCCTTTTAGGCACATTTAGCAGAAGTTTACACAATTTGAGCAGATGGGATCCAAACTTCAAGAGATCTTACATTCATTTAAATACCAGGATGCATAGCCCAGTATGCATCGCACAAGTATGTAGGCTATTGATGACAGAAAGCACAGGGCTGTGCCTAAAATAGACAGAAAAATATAGAAAGTGATATGTCAGCAGTATTATAACCAGTCATATTAGAGAATTTTCCATGAGGCATCAGGGGATCTTTGACCTAAACTCAGAAAATATTATTCTGCTTTTCATTATGTCTCTTACAGAAAGACATTSTAAGTTCAGTTTAGCAGTCTGTGCCATAAGGAACAGGCATGAGTTTTCCTGTGACAACACTAGATCAATCATGTTTTAAAGAATGTAATTGTATCTACTGTCTTCTGAGATGGTCCAAAACTGACACGTTGAGTTTGCTTCAACCTGAGTTACTAAGAGAGGTTGCAAGGTGAGAGAAGACTCTCAAAGTTGTTTTCTTAATAGTATCTTTTCTTAAACAAGTTGTTAAAAAAAARAAAAAAGAAAAAAATGACCAAAATACCGAAATACCTCAAGTTAATTTGTGAAAAATGCTATAAGACTTGGGAACTTCACTGAATGTGAAGCTCTGTTAGCCCGTCTTGAACATATGCTAAGGTTATGATTTTAATTGGTAGGTCAGGCTATTTGAAGCAATAACCTTTGTGCACCAGATCTGTAAAGGGAACCTTTACTGCACTGACAGACCTAATTGAAGAACAGCAAAAGCTGCCTGAGTGCAAGTCAAGCCAAAATCAGGCTAGGAACAGACAGCAAGACAGCATATTTTTCAAAGCAAGGGCAGTGATTATTGGAACAAATGCAAGGAATTCTTGACAGCTGTCTGTTGCTAACTGAAGGATTAGATTTTTTTTTCCTAAAACAGTACTATGGTTTAAATGGGGAGAACTTCCAGGAAGTTCTAGATCCTGTATTATGCAGAAAGTCAGATGAGATAATTACAGTGCTGCCTTGTACCCTAAAGATGTGTTATATACTGCACAGTAAAGCTGTGCTACTGGTGAGGATGGCTGCAACACAGAAGGGAATTTAGGTGTTTTGCACTACTATCAACTTGTGATCAGAGAGCATTCCCTCTAGCTTTTGTGCTAGTGTCCTGCTAACGTACTTCTCTTGCCAAGTCCCACAAAGGCTTTTGCAGAACGAGGCAGGTGATTTCACTGAGGAGGCCTTCTGAAAGCACCCCATACCTCCTGAAGGCTTAACYGAGTGCTCTTGGTGGTGGATGAGGATGAAAGACTCTCAGCCAGCTATTTKGTTTCCCTTCCTTTTCTCTTCTCCAGATGAAGCTTATTCTTAGCATTTTGCTCAGATGGCAAGAGAATGGGCACCAGAAGCAATAAAGAGGAAATCCTGCCAATTATTTTGGGTTTCTTGTAGGTAGCAAGTCAGGATGGCCCAGCAGAAGTCCTACCAGACAAAGCTGGAGAAACAAAGGGCCAAGGAAATGGTACAGGCACTAAACTGTCCATTTCCCACTTCAGAACATGCCTATCTGGATCTGTCCAAGATCTATCCACAGGAAAAGATTGGTGACTGGTAGTCACTGATAGCGACCAGATCACAAGTAGCATAAAATCTGCAACAAGCCCAGAGGTCCTGAGGACATACTAGGATAGTTTTGCTTCTTCTCTGTGCCTTAAAGCCTACAGTTTTCTCAAAGAAATGAGAAATAAAAGGTTATATTGATAAGCTTAATCATCTGAATTGGTTTTATGTATGCCCTTGATACTGTAAAATCAAAGCACTGCTCTCTTGCCAGGCATTAAAAAGCCAGATTTGTGGGTCATTAATGGCAGCAATGTGCTTAATCAGGAGCCACCTAAGAGCAGCACAAAGCTGCTCCTCCCTTTCTGTACATGATTTATTTTTTAATAAGAGTGACCAAGATGGCTGTATGAGTTGCTTTGTAGCAGGACATGGTGATTTGCAAACTCTCTCTTGTGTTAATGTCTCTGTGAGCAACTTTGAGAAAGCAGTGCCTTGTTATTACTTTTAATGTTTTCCCTAGGTATATAGGCCTTTCCCTTCCTGGGATAAGAAGGGAGATGCAGGACTCATTATGTAGTAATGAATTTTTAAACGGTGAATCTTTATTACCTTTTCTTTTTCCTCCACGGGCTCTAGTGCTGGCTAACCAAAGGTACAGAACTTTACCCCCTTGGTCTTTGGGGAGGTATCTTACCTTCAACAGAAGGCCAGATAGCTCCCAAACTGCCTGATAAGTTATCTTTATGGTAGGCCTGGCTTATTAGCTTCATCCTTAAGAGCAATTATATTTGATGTGGGACTAGGTGCTTCTCAGCCTGAATTATTACGATGGCAAAACACAACAGATGGCAGCCAGCTGAAAGCTGAGACACTGTCCTGGTTTGTTTTGGCTCCAGGACTCCAAGCCCTACCATGACTGCTGCTGGTCTTGTAATGGAAGGTGTGATTGTCCCTCATTGTCATCCCTCTGCAGCCTCCTTGCCTCAGGGCTGTGTTGCTTTGTCTCTTCTCCCCTGTCTCCACCCAGATTGCCCTAAGCTCAAGTCAGCAAACCCAGCAGCAGCTGGTAGCTTGAGTTGCAGACAGCAATGAGCTTCAATGCTAAGGGACTGTTGGTTTACACCACAACTCTGTTACAGGTGTGCAAACAAGCTGGCATTTTCTTCTGTGCTGCATTTAGGCCAAGTGYCTCAGGACACAGATCTGTCTCTTTTCAGCCATAATTTTGCTAGAACACCAGATCTGAACCAGAGGATTGCAAAACCAAAGAGAGTGAATGTCCTCTCTTTTCTTACCTTTTTCCTTTTGGGTTATACGCCTTTTATGTGCATCTTCATGGAAAGGTTGTAAACTATGGTTTATGTTTGTAAACCACAGCTTAATTTTGAGGTACTTTGCATGTATGAAACTATCAGAAGGGACAGAGATTGTGGGAAGGACATCTGAAGCGATAAAATAATAGAAAGGAGGGAGAAAGGAAGGAAAGTAGTTTAAGTGAAAATTCAGATTAATGCCAGGTAAATGGATAGAACACAGAGATACCTGGAATATGCTATTATAGGCGTATATGAGAATTTCTAGAGGGAGAACTTGTGAGAAATTATTAGGAACTAGAATAAAACCCTCAAAGACCCTAAACAGATCAGATCCTAGGAACAAGTACAACTCTTCCTTACACTTATTACAGGAATGCTGAGTGTTTAATGCAGAAGAGGAGAGCACGAGGTGGAAGGAGAGGGCAACCACAGCAGAGGCAGTCAATGACACGTTAACAGCAGATAAATGAGCTAGGTACCTAAGGCGGTTTCAAATGTTAAAAAAAACCAAAAAGTGTAATTTGGGATGTAAATTGAAAGAGCCCACTGGGAGGTTTGAAAGTGAACAGCTGATGCTTCCTTGAAGGATTGTCCTTAGTCTTTGTGATTTTGGCAGCATTAGAAGTTGTCATATTCAGATGGCTGAAGGATTAGAAGTTGTTCCATACGGTGGACCAAATGAAGAAAGATCATACTTGCCCTTGCCTTTCAAATCTCTCTTTTTTTTTTCTTTTTCATTTTGAGTCTTTCCTAAATAGATTCTCATATTCTGAACTCCCATTTATTTGTTGGTATTTAGAGACATAAACATGCCTGCATTCTGTGGTCTTTGGAGTTCGTTCTGAAATGCTGGGGAAATGTAATCTGGTATGTCATTTCCTAGTGGCTTACAGCAAAGGTCTTCAAATATATTTAATGGCTGCGGAAAATCAGTTTGAGGAAAATATAATGGGAACCTGCAACCGAGAAAATGCTGAACCTTTTGAAAGCTGTCTGCTCAGATAAAATTTGTTGGAAGGAAAAAAAAGTTTGCTGATTTTTTTTTTTTCTTTTTTAAGCTTGCAGATGGAGCTCAAATCTTATGAGAACAGCGGATGAGTAGCATGGATATGAGCCAGACATGGGACTGGTAGGCTGTGTTGCGACTGTCCCAGATAGATGTGCTGATCCCTTGGCGAGAAGCATCCTCTGCTGCTCCCATYCCAAACAGTTCCTGATCACAGATTAACAGCTGAGCTGTGGTGTTGACTGTCATAACACAGGGTAGGAGCTTGCTTTCCATCAGAGGATGAAAAGGCAGAGTTCATTTCCCCCTGGTCAAACCAAAATTTTCGGAACAGTTGGGTGTGTTTTAATGATCTTGTTGCACAAACTCTTCCCACTTGTGTGGCCCTAACAGTGAAATGTTGGAGTATTAGCCTGTGTTTGCTGAGTGTGCCCATGCTGCTTCAAAGAGCAATGGAGTCAGAAGCCTGAGATTTCTCTGCCTATTGCGTTAAAGGATCCAAAAAATTTCCTAAGTTATAAACACCCTACTCTATAGAAGAACATCAACTTTTGGGGTTCCAGATGGATGTCCCATTGAATGACAGAAGCCGAGACTGAATTCTGTTATAACTATTACCTAGTCATAGGTACAAAAGTGACTGTCCAAAGGGTGGGTCAAATGGTATCTTGATGCTAAGATTCTCCGTGAATTCCTAAATGGCCACAAGGCACAAACAGGATTTAGCTCTCATTTGAAAGATCACTTGATATTTCATTTCTTGTATTTCAGAAAGCTAAAGGACATTGACATCAATATAGGCATGGAGTGTCATGTAGGAGAGCGTCTAGTCCCATCACTTGCTTTCTGCATTACTTTTGGCATGGAGTCTTGTCTTTCCGTCTATATTGTCTCCTAATGCAACACAGGTAATTCTTAGTAGCTTCCTTGTGAAGTGCTCTGAACAGGCTCTGTTTCTCATTATAATTGTTGAAAATGTGATTATTTTCTTCCATGGTAGAGATGAAGCTCAAGGATGCAGGAAGGTCATAAAGGTTGGTGTGGCTCTGGCAGCCTCTCCTTGAGGAATGTGCATAGAGGACAGCCACATTCATCTGTCAAGAGAATGTGATTCTGGAAGAGCTGAAGGTACTTTTTCCTATCTTAAAAAACTTAAGATAAAAGGAAAGATAGAGGTCCATAGAAAAGGCTTCCTATGAATCAGTGGTGGTTGCATGGCCTTAAGTGGCACTAACCTTGTGTGGGCTTAACACAGAATCACAGAATGGTTAAGGTTGGAAGGGACTTCTAGAGATCATCTAGACCAACTCCCTGCCGGCTCAAGCAGGGACACTTACAGCATGTGGCACAGGGTGGCATCCAGGTGGGTTTGGAAGACCTTCAGAGAAGGAGATTTGACAGCCTGTCTGGGCAGCCTGTCTCAGGGCTTTGTCACTCTAACAAGAAAGAAGTTCTTCCTCACATGTAGATGGAACTTCCTGTGTTTCAACTTGTCCCTATTATCCCTTATTTTATCACTGGCCACCACTGAGAAGAGTTTGGCCCCTTCCGCCCTACATTCACCTTTCAGGTATTTATACATATTGATCAGATCCCCTCTCAATGTTCTCTAGGCTAAACAGGCCCCGCTCGCTTAGTCTTTCCTCATATGAGAGATGCTCCAGTCCCTTAATCATCTTTGTCGCTCTCCGCTGGCCCCTCTCTAGAAGCTCCACATCCCTCTTGTCTTGGGGAGCCCAGAACTGCCCCCAGTGCTCCAGGTTTGGCCTCATCAGAGCTGAGCAGAGGGGTAGGATCCCTTCCCTTGGCCTACTGGCAACATCCTCCTGGTGCAGCCAGGATCCCATTGGGCCTTCTTGGCCATCAGGGCACACTGCTGAGTCATGGTTAACTTAGTGTCCACCAGGACTCCTAGGTCCCTCTCTGCGGAGCTGCTCTCCAGCAGGTCGACCCCTAATCTGTACTGGTGCCTGGGATTATTTCTGCCCGGGTGCAGAGCCCTGCACTTGTCCTTGTTGAACCTCAGGAGGTTCCTCTCTGCCCAACTCTCCAGCCTGTCCAGGTCCCTCTGGATGGCAGCACAGCCCTCTGGAGTGTCGGCCACTCCACCCAACTTGATATCATCCACAAACTTGCTCAGAGTGCCSTCTGTGCCCTCGTCCAGGTCATTGATGAACAAGTTGAACAGCATTGGGCCTAGTACTGACCCCTGGGGGACACCACTGGCCACAGGCCTCCAACTAGATTCCAACTAAACTTAACATATGAAGTGTCACTGGGAAATCTAAAGGGACCGTCATTTGACCTGGTGGCTATGGAAGATGCGTACAACCTCTGGAAGGTGATCTCCTAGAAGAATCTGGTTGTGTGACGTGTTTTGACCATTCAACCAGCTTCAACTTTCAGTTTTTCCTCCACAAATAATATGCCTTCCTATAAGGTCTTGTGCCATACCGATGAGGTCCTGCCAAAGAGGTGCCTATTAGCACTAGCTAGTCCACTTGATCTTCATAATTAATAAACACTCTGTAATTTGTATGCACTCTGCAGGCCTCCAATATGCTGCCACTGAAGTGGATACTGAGGTTTTAAGTGTGACAGGCTGATTAAGAAGTCCAGGGAAGGCAAATTTCACACTTGGCTTAGTGCTTTTGAGTCATTCCCGCTCGCTGTCGATTGCCTCGCGCAGTCGGCTGCTCCCTGCAGCTGCTACTGAGTGTGAGACGGGAGGCAGCCAGCCCCGCGGGCTCTGCTTAAGCGCAGGGGTTGTGGGAAAGCAGCGTTGTGGGATTTGACAAGTTAACACCACAATTAAAGACAGGCTAGGAAATAAAGCCCTACCGCTGGTTGGCTTGCAAACAGCGGACCTCTGCGTTCCAGCTAATATTCAGGGCAGATGCCTACAAAAAGTAAGTGAAATCCATCCCTTTTGCTCAGACAGCAGGAGAAATATATATATATAAAAAAAAAAAGGCAGAGAGACAAGTCAGAGCCTCGGAAATATGCAGCACAGTTGAACATCTCTTTGGAGCAAGAGCTGCTCAGCACGGTGGCCCTTGCAGATTCTCCCAAGTGGCTTTATTCTTCATGGTTGCAGCTTCTTTATCTCCCTTGTTTCCTACCCTGAAATARACATAACTCAGGAGGAGACAAAGGTGTAGGAAACTAGTGATGTGCGAGGCAGGATGGGGACAGGTGAACACAGTGTGCTCTGATGCAGGTCACATTTGCAGCCATTTCCAGTTTGGTCCCCACAGCACCCAGAAGTTATCACATGGGCTTCAGGGAAGACAGGGGCAGGACAGCATCCTAAGACCTCTCCTGAGGTGGCAGAAATCTTCTAACAGCCTTTTTTGGGCTTTTATGCCACCACGGAGGGAAAAAAAGTAAAGGAGTAACTTCAACCTCCTTGTTGTACTGTCTCCTCTCTCTGACACTTGGCCATGTGTGACACAGCATGGCTTATTTTGGTCCAAGCCTCTTTGGATGCAAGCTGTTTTTCCCCATGATGTCCCATCAGGGCATCTTCGTGCTGCCCTGTCGCAGAACCTTCTCTCTTGGACAGATTCACACTTGCTTGAAATTTTAGCAGGATACAATGCTCATGTCTGCAACCCCCTGCTTTATTTCCAGCTGAGAAAGCAAAATGCTATTTTGAGATGTGACATCTCAATATTTATCAGCACAGGGAACATTTATCAAAAAGGGAAGAAAAGAGACTGCTCAAATGCCCTCAAACTGTGCAGACACTTGAGAGTGTTGGTGGTGAAGTGACTCACCAAAGAAAACTTTTCATGTAGATCTCAAGGTGCTTCATCTCCCTTTCTCCCACCTCACTGGTGGCTGTGGTGCAGGCCACAGGTGACCGCAGAAACACCTATGTTATCTGTTCACTGCAGCAAAACTCTTCAAAGGGTCTGGCCATTAGGTAGAGGAGCCTAATGCCGACCCTTCAAGAAGAACAGGGTCTGCATCGATAGATGCTGGATCCGTGAATAAAAAGTGTGTCTTTAAACACAAGCTAGAATTCCTAGGAGTCTGTGCTCCTCAGGTAAAAATCACTTCTTTTTGAGTTAGTGGAAGGAATAAGATCAATAATAAGATCTATTTAAGTTTCATCGAACATGAGAAAATTAAAAAAAAAAAAAAAAAAAGAACAGGATATGGAAAACTTGTGAATGACCTAGTAAGAAAACTGAGATATTTTGCTCAAGGGGCTTAGTATGTGAATGTACTATTATTGATGTGAAGAGCACACGTCGTGTTTGCAGTCACTAGTTGATCTCGTATGCGAAATATAAAAAAAAAAAAAAAAAAAAAAACAATTGTGATCCATTTTGTCTGTGCAAATTTTGTGCCAGCGGTGCTGAAGCCTGCACTGGGTCAATAAATGGGTTATCAATTCTATTTCCTCATCTTCTTTTCTAGGGGGTCACTGAAATCAGTATCCTTTTCTTTGCTTTATTAGATTTCCTTGAGCTTGGCCTTGTAGTGTTTCAAAATGAGCAAGACTTGAATATTTTTGCTAGCTGCTGGGCTCTGTGCAGCTCACTGTCCTTGTCCAGGAAGTTTCCCTTAACTCTCCTCCTGCAAACTGGAGGGGAAATACTGGTTGCTGTAGGGTAAGAGGCCAAGAGACACCTGGAGCAGTGTCCTGCCATGGTGTGAAACCAAAGGTCTTTTGTTTTCCCAGGGGTTGCATTTGAACCTATGCTATCACTAAGGGGGGCTGATTCAAAAATGAAACTTCCATTCTGCAGGAAACATACAGTATTATTTTAAAAAACAGTGCAAAAAGTCAAAATTAGCTGAAGTTTGGGATTTTTTTTTATTCCTGCTACAGTGAAATAGTTTCCTTGAAATGCTTTGTAGTGGTAAATTAGAACATTTTGCTCTTATTGCTGCTGTCATRATAGTAACTAAAATTGTTCTATTGGAACTAAACGATTTGAATGTATCACAGTGAAATGTAATTTCCCAGTGAAAACATTGGTGGAATTTGCTACYTTCCTGCAAAACTTCCCAATTTTATCAGAAAAACACTTTTGTTTGTAAAATTCAAATAAGCAGCAGTTTGTAATATTTGAATAATTTTTGACCCTCATTTTGTTTTACTGTTATTTGTGTAAAACAACAAAAATTTAAAGGTAAGGAACAGAAAGATAGATTTGGTTGCCTGGTATTCAGAAAATCACTCACATGGAGAAAAAATCAGAGGGTGTTTTTTTTGGCTATTTTTTTTCCTCTTTGCTTCTGAATTTGTGTTAAATTCACCTAATAATTTAGTCTCGCTGAGTTCTCTTGCTCCCTCGGTGGCATCCATCATCAGTGGTGACATTAAGTGTAGCATTTAATGACAGGAAAATCCATTAAAAACTTTATTGTGGCCACTTTCTTCCTCTTTTTTCTTTGCATGGAAGATACTAAACTACTGCAGCACCAGGTTATGGTTCCAGACCTGAGAAGACACATACCCTGGACAGGTAGGCGTATCTGCAGCACTTAACATTTTTGTCAATGCCTTATAATTTGGGTCTGCACAGGATGCCTGCGGTSTCTCTCTGCAGCATGTCTAGTCTCTGCTCAGCTTTCCCTGTTAGTGGCTGTGGTCTTATATATTTCTTTTCAGAACTGAGCTCAAAGTTGRTGTCACATCTGGAGAGGGTTGGTTTTTTTAAGGGTGGAAGAGATAGCTACTAGATGCTGTTTCTCAGACTGCTTCTCCTTATCGGAAAAGCTCCTTTGTATCTGTGACTTTTGAAGGCCAGTTATGGAGCAGCTTTGGGTGCTCTGGATGATAATCCTTGGTGTCTCATAGCAGAAGGGCCATCATTATTGTTCACAGACACATCTGGATGGGAAGGCTGTACCCACATGGAATTAATCACCCACCTTTGCAAGCATAGAKGTGCTGTGTAGCATAAATCCTTCTATTACTTCTAACAACTACCTTTGCTAGGCAGGGGTATATAACCCATTTTATTAACAGTTTTGTTAATAGCTTATCACAGTTCTTAATTGGATCGCCGTAGATCAAAGGTATGTAGTTGAATTAAACTAGGCCAAATGTAAAGCTGCTGTCAGAATTTTCCAAATTTTTAAATGGATTTTCCATTGTCATCTTGTCTTTATAACCACAATGAAATGATCCTTAGAATGCCACCTTCACAAAATAAAAGGCTCCTGTGGAGATATAATAAATAACTTGGAGTTAATTTCTTATCTGGCCCACCTTTTTCTGTATGATTGAATTTTTCAGCACCTTATAACAGTTCTTGCTAGCACAGCAATATTATTATTTTACTGTTTAGACAGTACTGAAGTGAAGCTGTAAGTTGGAATGGAGTCTTGGCACTGACTGTGAAGTCTGTCATTTATTCAGCTTCTAAAATATCCTAGGGCTCTGTTTCAGAGCTGGCTATTGTGGACGTTTTAATTCAATATCCGAGGACTTTGTGACTTCRTTCAAAGATTTTTAAAAGTCTATTAAATGTTCTTTTCTAACGCTCTTTTTTGCAGAAATCACAGTCATCCTGTGTGACTGACTTTTTTTATTGTTTTYTTTTTCCTCTCTCCTGCCTCAATAATTCAGGCTTGCTAAGTCTGCTGACTAATTTTTCAGTGTCCTGAAGAGACAAGAGCAGCCTTAAAATTTCAACTGGGTTCTGTAGCTAACTCTTTCCCACCATGAAAATTCATAGGATTTCCAAATACTTGGCTTGTTCCCCCTCATGATGAGACTGTGCCAAATGATTCAAACACTTTTGACAGAGATGCAGTGACTGGTGAAGGCAAGTGAGTGAGGATCATATATCACCACAGTATACGATCAATCAGCTATAGCAACCACAAAACCCAGCAAAGCTGTCCTCATACCAAATAAGAAGTAATTTCTTCAAAAGTAAAAACTCCTCCAGCTGGAGTTGCTTATTCCAAGCCTCATGTGCGTGCAGTTCCACATACCTATAGGTTATCATGATATAGGCTCCATAACAAGCAAATGTTTGTGCCTTTACAACACTTTTATGCAAACTACCTGCTGGGCAGTGCCTCAGATACGTCAGCACAGCCTGTAATTCTGTGTGTGTCAAGAGCTTTTCTTACCTAGGCTAATCAATGAATTCATCTAACTGCCAAATTAGAAGTGTTGGAGTGAAGTTTCTGTAGGAACTTTCTATATTTTGAGATGTGCAACATTGCTTTGGTGAGGCAGGTAAGCAAGAAGTTTTGATGCATCCCTTCAGTTAATGGGAGAGGAAATGAATGATGAAATAAATGACTCAGTATCTTTGCTGATGAAATCAGATGCTGTGACAAGAAATGGAAGAGCTGGAAGTGAAAAGGCAGTTCAGGAAATGGGCTGCTSTATGTCAATTGTTTGTAGGTGTTAATTCTGGAAAAGCCTCAATAGACTGAGGTGCAAGCACCATTCTGATGGTAGGCCATTAGACACCTCAGGAAAACAAGCTTATCTCACATCCAACCTATTAATCAAATCTTTAGTGAGATTTATTACTGCTGCTGTTGAATATCCTTCATAATGATAAGAAGCAGGGTCCAGAGGGCTGAATRGAGGGACTTGGCTCTCCCTGTGACAATGAGCAGATGGAAGAGCGTGATATGACTAATGTAATTCAATGGGACAGCAGCAAACCTGAAAATAGACAGCAGATCTGTTTGCTCCTGTAACCACTATGAAATGTTGCTTTCTTTCACTGCATTGCATCTTTGGAGATCTGCAGGTGAAAGCACTAAAAAATACGACCTTGATAACTTTACATGTTGCCTTATTATACAGTATTACATATTGAATAAGACATTAATTATTTTAAGACAATGAAGCTGGTCATAATTAACTTTATAAAGACATTTCCATCTTGCGACTGAGGCTGATATGGATTAATTGATCATCTGAAAGAATTTGCCTCAGATTCTTACTGATGTGATCAAAATCAAGTGCTGTCCAGTAATGCTGTATTCTGGCCTGCATTTGTAGTGTTTGACTATAGAATTTTATTCCAAAATGACCAGCTGCATGCTACTGTTGGTGCATGTTTTGCAAATGATTAACACAGTTCTAATTGGCATATGTTTTAAGCACAAAATTATGGAATTAGGAGCGTTGATCCTGAAAGCCAGGCACTGTTTCGTGCTGCAAGGAAATAGCTGGGTATGACTGCCCACTCAAACCATCCCTTTGGATAGCTAACGAGTTCTGCACTCCTTCAACATCTCATCTCCTTCAAAATCACAACAATCTGTGATGGTAGAGAAGAGGTCCTGTTGGAAAAGAGCATCTCTGCTTCTGTTATAAGCCAGTCCCAATTTCTTTTCCTGGAAAGCTACATGACCCAGTAGAACACTCCTTTCTAATGAGACAAAGGCCCTTTCTGCTTGGCAGCATTTTGATATTCATTTGGAAGAATCTCAGAATGAATAGTAATTATGGAGATCATGTCAAGCTGTTTGGCTTGGTTAGAATTCAACCACTAGCTCTGATAAAACATTTATGTTAAGGCTGTCTTAACATGCTAACGTCATTGCAAAGCCAGCCTCTATTATCTTTGAAATGTCACGGTGACTGCAAGAGGTTCTGGAGAACTAAAAGAAAGCAAATGTAATGCTCCTCTGTAAAAAGGGTTTAAACAGTGCTTGAGCAAGTGGGAAGGGGTGGACTAGAGGTCSCTTCCATCCCTGACAGTGATTCTGTGATATCCTGCAGTGTTACGAGTCAATGTAGTGGATATTTATCTAGACTTACCAGCCCTACAGTCCAAACGGGAATGTACCTATGTAAGGTGGTCTCAGTTCAAGAAAGCTTTGGAACTGGCCCATATTGAGGCTTAAACACCCAGATAGACAGCATGATGTATCCACCGTTAGGATGTGTGATCAGCTTCAAGATCTTAAGATACTGAGGAGTTCTAGTGTAGAACTGGAATACTGAGAGGAGCACTACAGGACTGCTAGAGTAAACCATACAGGGCTAGGACTGCCACTGATTTTCTCCTTGTGGCAAAATAAAACGTTTTACAAATGTTATTTCACTGGAATGAAGCATCTACTSTCTAAGTCCCTCACAAAGCAGGCTGCTCAGAGGGTAAAAAGCTTAAGGTGAGGATTGCTGAAGTTTCTTAATTTCTTTTCACTTGGCCATTGATTTAGAACGTTGAAGCTGTTCTTCACTTACATCACTGACAAGGATAAGCACGATAAATGTTGCATTGCTTTAAATGAACTTGATTGAGGCAGTGCAGTCTRTGGTGAACCTGAGAACTTTCTGGATGTGTCATCAATGTGAGCTCAGAGCATGAGCTTGCCAATCCTTCAGGGTGATGGCCCATATCTAACAGAGGCAGGGTGCCAAGTGYTGCAGGGTGCTTTCAAAGTTTTGAGGCCAAATATTTTTATCTCTTGATCGCTCTCTTTTTGTCACTTGTGATCCTTGAAAATCTACACAGAAAATGTCTACTAGTATAAAAAAAACCAAGTTCCTTGCTGACTGCAGTGGCAAYTAGTTGGACTAATTTTTGGAGCGCCTCACAGATAGTCTCTTACCTCACAGGGCAGCCATGGCACAGCAGCCATCTGCAGATAGACACAACCATGGCTATTTTTCTCTTGGGTTGGTTGGTGTGACCTTTCTACAGACCTCTGTACTGCAGGTCAGAAAGATAGAGGCTGAGGAAACTGAAGGCAAAGAAAACCCATCTAGATGTAACTACTGATAAGACGAAACAGACCAGGCAGAACACTTCCAAGGGTGACATTTTCAAGGTGAGTGGTGGATCTAAAGAGAAATTGTGATTCTTGCCTGACTGTGACTTTTATTTATGTTTTTATTTATTTGCTTTGCCTTTTCTTTCTGGGTTGAACAGCCTAGGGCCGTACCTAATAACTTGCCCTTGAGACATAAAATAGGGAGCAACCCCCAGTCACAATTTTACCCTCCTCCTTCTCCTATAACCTGCTATGAACCTGATGAAGATGACTGGAGTGTCTGTCTGATGAAACAACATCTTATGTCCATGCTGGGAAACATAACCGCTATAGGTGAAAGCGTCCCCAGAAGGAGAGAACACCAGGAAAGGTCCTCTTTCAGCCACCTCCCTATGATCATTGCCTAAGGTTTGTGTTTACTGAAGTCTGATGATGGGCCACAGGTTTCAGCTTCAGGTCTCAATCTTGCCTCCTGAAAGAGCATTGAAAATGTTCAGCATGGTCTACATTAGCTTGCTAAGGGGCTTTAATGCTTGTCCAACTGCTTTCTGTGAAATCTGATTGCTCTTTCTTTGTATCCCTTTCCATCAATCTGTTACTGTTATTAATTAAATACTTCTGATTGGAAAAATGAAAGAAAAATACACATCTAATTTAATATCTATATTTTGTGGCTGACAGCTGCCCATTTAAATAGTGTGCCATGTGTTTATTGGAGAGCACATATATCCTGCCATTAATATTCCAGTGTT